TATGCCCTCTACTTGTGTAGGATAATATTTTTTTTATTATTTCAAGCCAAATGAGAAATCAGTAAAATGTGATGTTTAAAAATATCTATTAGCAATGTTTTACTAACCAAGCATATCCTGATGGTGTGGGTGCATTTGGGGATAATGAGCGGGAGTGGCGAAATGAGGTGGCGGTGATCCGTATGATGAGCCAGATCCACCGGATTTGTTTCCGTTGTTGGAGTTATTGTTGCGATATTGGGGCCCATTATTGCGGGTATCTAAAAATTTTGCAAATATAAAAAAAATGCTAGTGGATGGAAATCATCAAACTATGGCAATGTTGTATTAGTAATACATACTTGTAAATTGACGCTGGCCATATCCATTTTGGTTGTTGTAGTTTCCTTGGTATCCATTGGTGTATCCACCTTGGTAATTGCCCATCGACTCAAACACAGTGGGGCTGGGGAATGGTACCTGCTTCTGGTAGTTGTTCTGTCTATAACCCTGGTTGTTCTGGTTCTGGTTTGTGAAGCGAGGTGCTTGTTGGTTCTGGTTGCGAACTTGATAATTATTTTGATTGTCCTCATTGGTAACATTAGCCATTTTGTTGTTCCACTGATTGTTCTGTTGACGAGGCGAGCTAGATCCGCTATTATTCTCTTTTCTTTGTTGCCAGCGATTGCGGCCTGGGAAAACAAATTAATATTAATTATTGTTTATAAATTTGTACAAATTTACTTTACACTGGGAAAATATAATTATTACATTTACATATAAAATAAATGAAAAAAAAATTCTAAATGTGATTACCTGATCCACTGTTGTTATTCCTCGCCATATCATTAAGTTTAGCCGGAGGGTTCTGGCCAGTTTCACGGAGCACCGCAACTAGTCCGCGTGCCTGGCGAGCGTCGCCGCTCGTGAAGAAAGTATATGCTGTTCCAGATTGCTGGCAACGACCAGTACGTCCTGATAAACAAAAAAAAAATTAGTTAAAGATAACAAATATTAAATGCATATTAAAATTGACAAATAATTACCTATTCTATGAATATAATCTTCCGATGAATTCGGGTAATCGAAATTCACAACAAATTTTACATCTTCAACATCTAAGCCTCGAGCAGCCACGTCGGTGGCGATCAGGATGGTGGTGGCTCCGTTACGGAACTCCGTCAGCACGGCATCGCGCTCCGGCTGCGACTTGTCACCGTGGATCGCCAGAGCTTTATGGCCGTTGCGGCGCACTGCACGCGCTATATCATCCACCTTAAATGACACATTTTATTAAAAAAAATCTAATAACAGCAAAAAAAACATTAATTTATTAATTATCATATATATGTACCTTTTTCTTTGTCTCCACAAATACAATAACTTTGTTATCTTTTTCTGAAGAAATCTCTTTCAGAAGATTAGCAAGTTTCATCTCTTTTTCATGTTCCTCACAAACTTCAACAATCTGTTTGATATTGTTATTAGCAGAAAGGTTCAAAGAGCCAATGTTCACCTTGATATAGTCATTCAAGAAATCTTCAGCCAAAGCTTGGATCTCCTTGGGCCATGTGGCAGACCACATCAAAACTTGACGATCAGGTCTAATCTGCTCAATGATCTTACGAATCTGCGGTTCAAAACCCATGTCCAGCATTCTATCAGCCTCATCCAGCACCAAATAAGTGCAACGACGCAAGTTAGTAGCTCCACGTTCAAGGAAATCGATCAAACGGCCAGGAGTAGCAATGACAATTTCAACTCCCCTCTCCAAGTCCCTAGCTTGAGGTCCTTTTGGTGAACCTCCAAAAATGCAAGTATTGCGGATGCAGCCATTGGCACTGTAAGCTTGAGCAACAGATTGAATTTGCTGTGCCAACTCCCGAGTGGGAGCCAATATGAGAACAATGGGGCCATCGCCACGTTGGATTCGTTGTTGATGAACAATGTGAACAGCAGCAGGAAGCATGTAAGCTAATGTTTTGCCTGAACCAGTAGAAGCAATGCCCACCATATCGCGACCAGATAAAGCAATAGGCCATCCTTGGGCCTGAATACCTGTTGGCTCTTCCCAACCTTGCTCTTTGATAGTATTCAAAATGTGTTCAGGGAAATTGCCCTCGTCAAACATCTGGTTTGGACGTGGCACATTGTTGCCACTAACAGTTATTTCTTTTGTAGCCCGGAACATCTGAACATCCTCTTCAGTGCGCCCTTCAACATTAACATGTGGCTTGTAGAAATCCTTCATAATCGGACCCAGTTTTGAAAGGTCCCACATGGGCTTAACAAGGGCATCTCCAGGATGCTTAGCCTTCATGCTCTGAAGTTTACGTCCCTTAAATTCCATAGATTGTTGGTGGTTTTGTCCCATAGTAGGGCTATATGATTTTCGTTGACCATAGCTCTGTTGATTAGGGTTTCCTTGGTTACCATTGAAACTCTTAGGGCCATAGTTGTTTTTCTGGAAACCCTGCTGCTTAGGTCCACCAAAATCATTTTGCCCATTGTAGAATTGATTACCCGGGCTTTTATCTCCATCATATTCATTCTTATTTTGCTGTTGATTGTTAAAATTATTTCTTGGTCTGTATTCCTTGGGCCCTCCAAATTCATTACCATTTTTTTGGTTATTAAAGTCATTTCTCACTCCATTAAAATCAGATCTTGGCCTAAAGTTCTTGTTGCCCATGTTTCTGGGGTTAAAGTTTTTCGGCCCTCCAAAATCAGGAACACCACCATTATAGTATGGCATTTTACCGAATTGTTCATTCTGGTCAAGTCGTGGTCTGAAACTAAATGCAGGAAAGTCAAGATACTAAATTCCATTGTATGAAAGCTGAGGCCAGCTTCAATTTCTTTTATCCAACATAAACACTTTGTCCGAAAAAAAATAAACAGACTGAAGTTTCATATTACAAATCAATAAAATTCTATACATTTATTAAAATTCATCAAGCTACCGGAAAAATAATTCAAGAAAATCAGACAGCCTTGCTGTTGTGCTGTTCTGTAGAGAAAAAGTTTTACTTAATGTAGGGTAGGACAATAAAGCTTTTTTTTTGTTTTTAAATATACTAGACATCCATTTGGTGAATCATAATTGATTATCAGAATTTCAAAATAACTTTATGGACTTCAACTAATATGGAAACATTAACTGTGTCAAATTTCATGTTCATCTGTATATCATCACTGTTTCACATATTTCTCTAATGTTTATTGATGTTATGGTTACATATACATGTAATGAAATAAAAAAGTTTAACAACCAAAGCTTTGTTCCTATTTCTTCATATTTTTTTTATTTGTTATGTTGTTAAGTGTACAACCAATAACTTTTACATATACCCTTCAAAACAAATAGATAACATAATAATCAATGTTTAAGTTTTCTAACAGTCTCGTTATAATAGGTTTATGCCTATTTTTACACTTAATAAGAATCTAGTCTTCTATATGAACAGTCACAATTGACCTTCATCATATACCTCAAAGGTATTCAAAAATGGAAAACTGTTTTCATGTTTAATTCCTACCAGATAGGTCTTATTCATTGATTAGCATTTTGATGTAGCTTTAGCGTTTAAAAAAAAGTAATTTTTAAGTAAAAATCACCTGGTGTTTTTAATATAATTAGAATGTATACGTAACATGAATAATTAGACATTTGCTATAAAATGTAATACTTTATTATTGCAAACAATACCCATAATGACTATCTACTTCTCAACGTTTCACGGAAAATTTTAAGTATTGATTTTATTCGAATGTACAAGCATGCGCAGTAGTGAGATGGTTAAATTGACACAAATAACAAAGAAATAATGTGAAAATATTAGCCACAGTTACTTAAATCATCAGTTTATGATATTTCGTAGTATTTCCAAACCTATTTGAGTAAAATAATTGCAACCATTAGGTATCAGCTGAGTGAAACCCATTTCACAAAATGGCGGCCCCTTGTAACATACAATCAATACCTTCTGCAACGTATGCGGCCATTTTGACATGGGTCTTACAAAATTTATTATAGTGAAAAATGAAAAATAAAGTCAATAACTTACATAGGATGTTGATTGTGGAATCCGTTGAACTGCATTTTGCCGTTTTTTCTGTAAAAGGTATAGGCGCTTACCTACGTGGTGGTAAACGCTCGAGTAAGTATCTGGAACATCATGATTGGTTAATCCTTGTTTTCAACTTAGGTATTATTATCTACTACGTATAGAAATGACAAAAACTTACCTCTCAATTAAGAGAGAATTTGAAATATATTTTAATAATTTTTCATAAAATCCTACCGACTGACTCAGCGAACGAACAACTCGATAATGGAAAATGGATCAATGATGGCTACCGGAACTGGTTTGGGTTGCCAGTATGACAAAGTTTCACCAAATGGTAAAAACTGAAAGTTGTATCTGTAAATTATCAAATATTCTACAAGTCATCATCTCTCTTTTGCCTTCATTGGATCAGTACAACAATTTCTTCTTCGAACTACAGGTTTATAGCGTTGGTTTGCCCACTGTTTTTGAAGTGAACAGGTTGTCTCTTTTGAAAACATTACAAAAAGTATATCGCCCGAGCAAAAATATTACAAACTGTAGTCATAGAGTTAGCATTATTGATTGTCGTCATAGTATTATATTATAATCGCGGTTTAATTTTTATTATTATTTGATGTGTTTTTATACTGTAATTATTTACGGTCGCGAAGAAAAATATGTAAAACATAGGATAATTTCAAAATACTGAATCAAATATCTGGTTTCCATTATGCTAGTACGGTGGAGCAGTACCACTGGTTTGATTTTGAGGGATACTAGCTACTATATCGTATTGTACTGGCATAATGGAAACCCATGCAAAATTCGAAGTGTTACCGTATCAATGAAGATTGTTGCGCCAAATTTTAGTAGTTTTTAGCTTTTTAGTAGGTTACAACACCACATGACAACATTTCCCTTTTCCTTCCAATTCCAATCTCAATATGTCAATGTCAGTGGATTGATTGATTTACATGTCATATCAGCAGTTCGCAAAATATAGGATGGATGAGTGACATTTTGTTTTGTATAAATTGTATCGATTGTTTCGTAATTAATGGTAATTAATCATGAAATTTCAAGACCAATGATTAGTGAATATAGCGGAATGTGTGCCGTTCATTGCAAATTCTCTAAGAATGTTAATTAAAACAAATGGGTTTTGATAAAAAAAATATTGACTTAAACATTGTCATTCATTGTTACCATAAAATTAAAATAATTGCTAGTTTGTCTTAAATCGTATAAAAGGTTAATATAAATTTGTTAAAATATTTAATAAATAGTTTTTGTGTCCTGTATTGACATAGTAAGATTATTTTCTAGTTTACTAACATACAAATGCCCCTGTGTTGTCAAAAAATAGAGATGATCATTTTAAATAACAGTTGTTAATTTAGCATGTTGGCCATACATTTATTCCGAAAGTGACGAAGACATCCTATACTCGATCTAGCTTATAACACTATGTTCTGACATCAGATACTAAAGAACGTGAACACTTTGATTTTTTTAAACACATTCAGTAACATTGACTCATGTGGAGACTTCACTTGCACATGAATAAAATGCAGTGATATTGAATGTGTTACATATCTATTTAATTCTTGTCTTTATCTTACGCTGTATAGTTAGAAGAAACAATAGGTTATTATTTTTTTAAATATTTTATAGAACAAATACAACCATGCAGTTGGAAGTAGCTGAAGCAGCCTCAGAGAGGTTGTACCCTGCTTTGTTTCAATGTTTTACTGTTATTATTAGCGGGTAAGTTTTTATCTTTGACATAATTCTTGTAATAATACCAATTCTAAAAAAAATCTAGCGTAAATGAGTTGCCTATTTGCTACTTCATGCTACTATAGATTTATTTATGAATACAGATTACAACCTTTTGCCCACTATTGCACCTACAACAGAATTAAAAAAGGTTAAAAAGTTTCTCATGTGCTACTTAAGACTGTTATATACCTGTGCCAAATTTCAATAAGACGTGTTGTGTTATCAGTAATTATGTAAATCAAACATCCCATGGAAACCATACACATTTCAAGAATCACAGGTACCCTATGTGTTCTTCCAGACTGTCTATATCTACAGTTATACCAAATTTCATCAATATTCATGTAGCCATTCTGGATGTATCTTTTAACAAACATCTATCCATTTATCCATAAATACATCCAAACTTTTGTCTGTATAATATTAGTAAGAAGTAAGATAAGGTAAGTAATTGTGCATATTTTTATAATAAATGTAAAAAATCTATGTAAGCTACATCTATCTAATTATTGTGTTACTTCTTTGACAGTGATGTCAAGATTTTTTTGATAAAAGTTTATATTTTCAGATACATTGCTGGTAGACTTAATGTGGTCACCAAGGCCGAGTCAAAAGGCATTGCTACTTTTGTGGGCACCTTTGCATTACCATCTCTCATATTCTTGTCACTAGCTCAATTAGATTTCAGCATTGTAAATTGGACATTCTTATTTTCGATGCTATTAGCTAAAGGAGTGGTATTCTTTGGGGTTGTTCTTGTCACCATTTTGGTGTCAAAGCCAATGAACTTGGGACAAGCTGGAATGTTTGCAATATTTTGCACACAGAGTAATGACTTTGCTTTGGGATATCCAATAAGTATGTGAATTTTGTATACTTTTTTTTTCTTGAGTACCAGTCTATTTAATTATTGTCTATTTCAATGTTTGCTTTTAAAGAGTGTCACTACAACATTTACATATGCTGTTAGGATTAGGTTATTTAACCTGGCTAATCTTATATATAATGAATTGTTGTTTTTTTTTAATATACACTACTAATTTAATATCAATAATTATACAGACAAACATGCAGCTTTAGTTTACTAATACTTGTTTGCAAATGTTTTATTAGATTTTTATTTCTTATTTCAGTTAATGCAATCTATGAAAAAACTCATCCTGAATACGCATTGTATCTATATTTGATGGCACCTATTTCTCTGGCCATATTAAATCCATTTGCTTTTGTACTGCTTGAGATCAATAAACAGAGACAAAATACGGATCAATCTGTTAGTGCGCAGAACCAAAAGAAATATGTCATGAAAATAAAAATGCTACTACAGATTCTCAAAGGAATAGTGTTCAACCCAGTATTAGTGATGACTGTGTTAGGCATTATTGGTAACATAGCTTTCAAACATAAACTGTCTATTTACATTGAAGGACTTTTAGAGGTAAGATATTTATTATGTTGAACAATTTCAAGTTTAAAGTATGCTTCATTTGTGAGCTTAAATGAATAATGATAATTTAATGTTACATGTTATTTATCATTTTTTTAGGTCTATGGACAAGCCTTTTCTGCATCTGCTCTATTCTTACTTGGATTAAGAATGGTTGGTCAAGTGCATCGGCTCAAAGGGCCCGCATTAATTGTCCCCTGTGTACTGATTATGGTTAAATTGTAAGTAATTTTTTATTGGACCTAAAACAATATCTAAATAAACACTTCAACAACTAAGATCAAAGTTTTAATTAAATTAATTATTTTATTAAGGATAATTCTGCCAGTCGTAATGAGAGAATGTGTGTCTGCACTGGATGCCGGTGAAAATCAGACGGAAACATCATCACTGTCAACATACGCGTTCTTGTATGGAACAATACCAACAGCTCCAGCTGTGTTTGTCTTCTCAAATATATATCAGTTGGAAATGGACCTGGTAAGTATGATAAACTGAAAATTATAAGAATATTTGAATGATGTACTAGTATTACCTTTTACTAATGTCAACTAATATAATTTAAATTTGTTGTTAATTAAATCAGTGTTTAAGACTATAAATTGATTGTTTCGTTAATTTCAGGTGGCATCATCAATGGTTATTTGCACATTTCTATCGGCTCCTATAACATTCCTCTCAGCTCAAGTGATTACGTTGAATAAGGATTATGCTGACCAACTGAAGAAATTTGGCTTCGATTTGTCAATAGTGTCACTATTTGCCGCTCTTTGGATCTTCATAGTTTTCACTGTGACGAGAAAATACAAACGAATGCCTCACAGGATTACATTCTGCTTGAATATTACTCAAGTAAGTTTTGCTATGTTATTAAATTTAATAAAAAAGAGGAGGAATGCTAAAGTCTTTTGTATTTTTGAGACTAAAACCTATTTGATATGAGTTGTTTTTTTCATAAACCCCTTTCAAGACTTTATAGATTTCAATAAATCAACACTTTACCCATATAGTTGTTGAGCCGCAGCTCAATAGTTTAACTTTACGAGACCTGAACTTTTAAACCGATTCAGAGGTTGTTTACACGTGTATGAATGTTTTTAGATATTGCTGGCTATCAGTATGATATGGGGAGGACCGTTGAGCAACTACCCGCCGTCCTGGCAGTACGTGGCGCAACAAGGTTTGCAGATATTCACCACTTACTCCTGCTTACTCTGGACTTGCATGTTGTCTGTTGGACTACTAACATTGGAGGTATTTATAACTGACAATCTAATAATCTCCTGATTCTTAATATTATTAACATTGTAAATGACTGTAAATAATTTTGGAAGGTGTTTGATTATTATTTGTCTCTTTTACTGTCGGTTAAACGGCCGAAACATCCGAAAAGCACCAACATGGCGAAAATGAATTAGTCACAGAATACTATGTCTTCAGTCCATTTATAAAGGGCAGTGTGATTTGATTGTTACACACAGTTGGTAATGCTAATGTTGTCAGAGTCGGGGGCCGTGTTTCGTGTTGGCGCTGTGGCCGGTGCTAGCGTTCGTGGCGTGGGGCGCGCCCGCAGTGATGGTCATCATTCTGCTTGCCACCAAGCCCACCGGTGGGATTGTGGATAGCAATTCTACGGACGTCATACGTCTGTGTCTTCTGGTCTTTAGTTTAACGGGTAAGTAAATTATGTTACATAGTATGTGCCACTACGTTTATTACATACTGCGAATTCAGCGTAGCAATAAAAATAGGAGCCTTGCGGCCTTGCGGACAGACCATACAGACAAAATTTAATCGTGTTTACACTATTTATAAATCAAGAACGGCTGAATCGATTGTTTAGCTGAGAACCAGACAGAAGAAGCCATCAATAAGATGATATTATATATTGTTGTGTTGCAGTGACTACGGGTTGTTTGATCCTGTACATCCGTTACCGGCGGCGCAGCTCCCACTTTGCAGCGCTATCGGATGACCTGGCGTCCAGCCCACCGGACGAGTCCACCAGCCTCGTCGACAACGCGGAACCCACTTCGCACACACAATCCGTTTCTAATATAGGTATGTATAGTTTTTCTCTTGATTTTAAAGTGTATAGATTATAGATTCTAACTTCATATTTTTTTTTCTTATGCGGCCCAAGGAATGGAAGAACATGGTAAATATTATAAATACCTTTATGCAGAATGCAAGTCATTTCTGCAATATTGATTATACTTTTAATTTCGATGTCTAGCCTCAATATAATTGTAAGAATGATTTTTACCCTATACATAGGTTGTTACGGTGCGATAACGGCAACTCCCTCGCCTAATAGAAATCCGAACGGCTGCTGCACAAATGACCCGAGCTGTGAGAGCGGCTTTATGAATTCCTCCTCCCGGGATTTGGAAGATATCGCCGATAACGACAAGTAAGGGATATTCAACATTTGTATCAAACCATTTTTCAAAAAATTGGTGGTGGGAAAACTAAAACATTTTTCCTGTCTCTAGAAATTAAAAAAAAAAAACTTCTGCATTAAATGAAGCTTATACTCTATTGTTTTCCTACGAAAACTACTTATTCGATGCAATTTAGGCAATGAATATTGTGCAATATGTACATACATATCATTCCGAAACAAATTACTTATATTAAATTTGTATTTATAAAAGGTTTAGTCTTAGATTTACTATGTATATAATCTGTGATGTTTAGGGATTGCGGGTGCAGATGTGGGCACGGTGCGGTGGGGGCGAGGACGGGGGCAAGTGCAGGTGCGGGTGCGGGGGGCACGTGTCAGTACCTGAGCGAGCTGGAGCGCGCGGCGAGCCGGCTGGGCCTGCTGCCGCCCGAGCAGACGCGCGGCCGCGGCGGACAGCTGCTGCGACACACAGTCCTCATCATCGCATACAATCTCACCATGTTCATTGTATGACTCGATTTAACAAATCCTTATATCAATAGGGAGAAAAACTATTTTTTCCTCACTATACATGTTTTCATGATCAAGAGTGGAAGTAGCACTAAATTTTTTAATGTTTGTTCAGAAAAATATGACAAAGGAAAACTTAATCACTAGATTGAATTATAAAAAAATTAACAGATGACAGCCCACTTGTCGCAAACGCCACCTACTTAGAGCTTTCAGTTTTTCTCCCCATTGAACTTATTACCTCGTTGTCTACTCTCTACACACATTTACCTTTAGTCCTAGACGTCTTATTTTGCGGTCTCGTGTTTGAAATAGAGGATAAAATATGCATATAATTTAGTTTTCGCTGGGTAATAACAGGGCGTAACCTACACGGGATGGCGCGTGCTGCGCAAGGACGAGAGCGGCGTGTACATAGAGATCGCGTTTTTCGACATTGCGGCCAACAGCGGGCAGGCGCTCATCATGTTCGCGTTGTTCGGTCTCAACCCGCAGGAGATACTGCTGCCCACGCTCAGGTTCATCAAGAACAAATGGTCAGCAACTATCATATACAATAGAAATAAGAAATTATAAAAAAATATATATTTTATTCCTTATTTAAATATAGGTGTCGGCCGCGACTCCGTACGCGTGGAATTAAAAAAAATAGTAGCCTATATGTTCTACAGTCTATATCCTAGCAGCAAAACCCATGCAGTCTTTCTGGATGCAGCTTTTCTAATATTCATCCATCGAACTAAACTTTTGCATTGATAAGATTTTATAATGATAATATTTTTTAAGGAATGGCGCCGACACGGTGAAATTACCACCAGTAGAGGAGCTAAGCTTCGAAACTAAACATGTATGCGAGCAGTTCATTACTCACCATTTGACCCATTGCCAGGACGCCATCACTAAAGATATCAGGTAAAATTACTCAACTTCCCCCTTGAGTTAAAACCCATACATACCTAAATGCGCCTTCCTGGGGTTTATATAAACTCTACTTCGAAGATGTGTCAAAATAAATTTGCGATGCAAAGACCCTTTTCCACTAGGCAGCTAACTGCGCCTAAGCGCATGACCATCCTGACCTATTTTTTTAAGAATGAACTGGTGTTTAATTATAAACTTCATTAGATGGAGGATGCGTACATACCGCGGCGTGTTCCGCGGCTCGTGCTTAGTGCGCTGGCTGGTGAGCTCCGGCCTCGCGACCGATGACTTCGAGGCTGTTACCTATGGACGACATTTGCTTGAAGGCAGGCTCATCTCGCACGTTAACAACACCTATCACTTCACTAATAGCCCCCTATTGTACAGATTTAACTAACCGTTTACTACAACTGTCGTGATGTATAGGAATAATACTGTTATCTCTAGTTTTTTCTAAAAGCATGTGAGGGACGGTAATATTGTTGTTATACAGATATTACAACAGTGGACCGCAACTAGTTTCGGACTTAGGACAACTAAAGCAATGCTTATTCGGCTTGAAAATTGGGCACATTAGTAGGCACAAAAAATTAGAATATATTTATTCTTAAAAAATATGTAGTTAGTATTGCCAGAGTAAAAACTAAAAAAAAAATATTGTGACAAAAATGAAAAAAAATATATATCGAAGTTATTGCTTTTAATGTTTATGTTTAAGAAATGTATGCGGTAAATAAAAATATATATTTAGAGTAAGTATATTTTACTAACTTGATGTTGTGTAAGTTGTTTTTTTTATTGCCTTTGAGGCGGAACAGAGTTCGCCGGGTCAGCTAGTAAGTAACACAATATTTTTGAGATTAATATGCTCTCTCCTACTTTATTTTAAATACATGATAATCCACATATTTTTTATGTTTTGTAATTCTTAATCCTTCGATCTGAATACTAATGTATTTATGTAGAGATCTATACATTTCTCGTCTACTTGTACTGCGTAAATCATATAAAAGACAAGTAAAGATTTTTTTTTGTATTCATGGGTAATGATTCATTCATACTCTCCAGGTGAAAACGTCTGAATAGGAACTATTGTATGTTATATATGTATTAACAAAAATTAAGACTTGACATACTATGTGCTGAATTCTAGTCATATATCGAACAAAATTTGATTGTTACCAATATCAATGTATGTTAAATACTTTGTTGACCATTTTTAGAGAAAGCTAAGTATGTTTTATTTTCTAATTCATTGTAGTATGGTTTATTACCCAACTGACAAGAGGGTAATTTTTTTCTTATGTAAGTTTATTTTTATGTATGTAAATATCATTGTGACGGCTTATATCATAAACAACAACTGATTTTGGCAAGTGTTCAATTTTTCTTCTTCCCCGAACACACTTTACATGAAAAAAAATATTATTGATAATAATAAAAATGTGCAAAGAAACATTTCCATTAGATACTCTTTATTATTATTTTTAATTGAAAATGATTAATTTTATAAAAACGAAAAAAATATATAAAATTCAAATTATCAGTGAGAATGTGGAAAAATAAAATGAATTTTAGAAACATTTCTTTATGCAATAGTATTTTCTATTACATGTATTCACTTGCCAATTTTTGTTAAGATATTAGTTACATTTTTATTTTAGTTTTTGTGATATTTGTGGCTGTTGAGAATAATTTTAGTTAATATTTATAAGATGCTGCTTTACATTGTCTATATAAACTATTCATTGATAAATATTAAACATTATTGTATTCAAATATCAATCAAAATATAATATTGCAAATTGTACTGCTCTTTTTATTGAATATTCGACAATTCATTAGAATTCTTGGTTACTTACCAATTTAAAAAAAACACATGCTATCAAATAATTTTGCAAACTGATAAATTTAAAACATTTTTTAAAATTAATCAGGCCATTTGTACAACCATATTTAAGAAGGTATTAAAGAATACAATTGAAACAGGATAAGCGAGAAACTCAGGTTGGAGAGAAATGTAAGCAAGAAAAATGCTGCGGTTCACTGGACTTTCATTATTCAGGTTTGCCTGTTATAAAAAAAGCAAAATAATTTTTATGTAACATTTATTCATCATTTTCTTGATCATCAATGTCATTTCCCACATCATTTTGTTCCTGAGCTTCCCACCATGTGAGCAAGCCTAGGCCTGGTTCATTGATGCCACCTATTATTCTGTATGGTGCTATAGTTTGAACAGGACATTCTGTTCCCAGGGGACCTGTGGGCAAACTCTCCTCAAATACTTCACTTGTAACTCTAAATCTTATTGATTCTCCTGAAAAAACCGGGAACACTTGTTAAATTTTGGCCAATTCAGTTTAAGTCATTAAATTAATCTTGCAACTTTATAGTGCAGTGATATCAACAACTTAACAATATAATTTTTAATTTGCGTAATTTATAATCACCTGAATCCATGAATAAATCATGCTTTTCACCCTCCCCTTTTGGATATTCCCATACCCATGCTTGGTCTGTCTCATCAAACCTTGAGGGATGCTGCAAAGCATTAACTGGTATTAAAATATCTTCAAAAAATCCAAGTGTCACTGTAAAATGAAATCACATTTTATATAATAATAAGTAGGAATAGTATCTCAATATTCCCATCATTCAATTTTTTTATTTTTATATTACTTAATGTTAAGAAAACAATACTTACCATGCACGCCATCTCTGCTACAACTTCTTATTTTTCCTATCAAAATTTCTTCCACAATAGGTCTAAACACAATGTACCGAAATTTGACTTCAGTGTGTGATGACCCATCTCCAGGGAAAATATATGAATGTCCAATATGAGTTATATCAAATAGTGCTATACACAAACCTACATTAAGTACTACCTAAAATGAATGTCATATTTTAGAAAACAAAATAATATGTAACAGAACCTCTATCTTCACCACTTTATAAGGCTTTGAGGTTTTCCCAATATGACCTGTGGTTACCGAATTGCTTATATCAGAGGAACTTTTACTAAGGTTACACTGCTAATAGGTATAAATATAATTTAAAACTGGTATACACTAACCTTATTCGCAAGTTTTCTATTTAGCAATGTTGTTATTGATTCCGATAAACTTTGATGAAAATGTTCAGGAGTAACTCTAATAACATCTTTCATTTCAGATAGCACAAACATTATGATAGTTGCTCATTTCTAAGTTATTTATATTTGAATTTTGTAGGTTCGCGGTTTAATTTTTAACCTAAACAACAAAAACAAAATAAATTGACAAGGAAGATGTGATCATATTTGACATTTGTCAAAATTTTGTTTTTTAGTGTTCTATGATATAATTCATTTGGTCTTGGCAACACCTAGCTAACCAAAGAGTATATAAAATAAGAGACTGGACTCTTGACTAATTACACAAACGGAGAATAAAAATTGTCATTTTCAATGCTATGCTACTTATTATATACTCTTTGCTATGGATTATGGATATTCTTTGTGTTTGTGATTTTATAAACTGAGTACGTAACCACCAGTAGTATAAGCTAATCTTAAGTACCCATTTATGTATTGTATTCTCATGTTTTCCTTAGAGATAAGTCAGTTATAATATTTAGTTCGTTTGTAACCTCCTAAGAGTAAAGTTGTCTCTTCTTCTTCTTCTTCTTCTTCTTCGTCTTCTTCTTCTTCTTCGTCTTCGTCTTCTTCTTCTTCGTCTTCTTCTTCTTCTTCGTCTTCGTCTTCTTCTTCTTCGTCTTCTTCTTCGTCTTCTTCTTCGTCTTCTTCTTCGTCTTCTTCTTCGTCTTCTTCTTCTTCTTCTTCTTCTTCTTCGTCTTCTTCTTCTTCTTCTTCTTCGTCTTCTTCTTCGTCTTCTTCTTCTTCGTCTTCTTCTTCTTCTTCTTCTTCTTCGTCTTCTTCTTCGTCTTCTTCTTCTTCTTCTTCTTCTTCTTCGTCTTCTTCGTCTTCTTC